ACGAATCTCGAAATTTGTTTAGACAACCTCTTGGCCATAAAATGTTGATGATGTTTTATCAGCCACGATGACAGACGAACAGACGGTTAAGATTACAGTCTTTTAAGCCAACAAAAATTTCAATCGATTAGGCATAATAAAGAATAGGATTGCTAACTTTTACATAGAGCTTCGCTTGCATTAATGTAGAAAAATAATCGCTATAAAAATCGAGAAATAGTACTTTTTCTGGGGAAAAAAACCGTATATCCTTTTCTGTATTCCAGATATGATCGGTTCAGTACTAGCGAAGTATAGACGTAAGAAATAAATAAAACTGATCTTCGCATCATATTACTATTTAGTATGGATTTGAAAAAATATGTATGTAGTATTGTCCGTTTCCAGCGAGAAATTGTCAACATTTTGCGTAAAAATGTTACAAAATTTGGTGTAACAATTTCTTTGTTCTTATATTCTATGTATACATCATTCAGTACTCAACCTTTGTAAACCACTGCTAATTAGCGTATAGTGATCCCACACGGGCTTATACTACTAACGTACCTATTTATGCTTTCTATGTACCAAGCTTTGTTATTTACAACTTAAAATAGTCGTTATTCCCATGCCATTGGGTGCATATGTATATATCACAAAGTTATCGCGGCATTTTCTTTGTGATGTATATAGTAGTCATTGGTACAGTAAAAAAAGTATGCTTCTCGTATTTTTCTCTAATAGTACCATAAAAGTTTCTTCACAGATTGTTTCAATACTAATTAATGTATGCAATAAATCGAACAATGGCAAGCTTTATATCCGTGGCCAATGAAGAAGAAAGTTTATTGCGCCTTCGAGCCTGTGGGCGCGGTCAAGGACATGACAAACTGCGCGCAACTTGAGAGCTTAATGCACAGATATTTTGTGCATTTGAACACGGTATACGACCGCAAGTTAATTTAACTCAATATCTAATTATTACGTGATAAAGATAAATAATCTGTTTTTCTTAAATACTTCCAAGAAATTATGTGTGACATATTACCAAAATACCTTCTTTTTTTTTTTTTTATTGCCCTTGTATGCAGACGGGCATACGGCCCACCTGATGGTGAGTGGTTACCGTCGCCCATGGACTTCAGCAATGCCAGAGGCAGAGCCAAGCCGCTGCCTACCGTTTAATAATCTCCACAAGCCTCGTTTGAAGAAGGACATGTCATAGCGCTCGGGAAACACCGTGGAGGGGAGCTCATTCCATAGCCTGATGGTACGGGGCAAAAAAGCCCTCTGGAAACGCACTGTGGATGACCGCAGTGGCTCCAGGTAGTATGGATGAACTCTACTCCGGTGGCGGGCGGTGCGATGGTAAAAACGAGATGCCGGTATCATCTCGAACAATTCCTCAGAGCACTCCCCATGGAACAAACGGTACAAAATACAGAGGGAACCGAAGTCCCTCCGCAGACCCAGAGGTTCCAAACGACAGGTTCCACACCTCTTGTGACATCACAAGATAGTAAAGGAACTTACGCATCACGGTAAGCATCTCATATACTCGTAGGCGCGGGATACCCGTAATGGCGATTGTTACGTCACAGGCTTCGTCACGTGACCGCTTAAAGAAGTTTAAGCGTAAATTATATTGCGAAAATTCTCGAAGAAAAAAAACATAGTTATAAAAACAAAGGTGCACTGTACACGACATTCGCGGTTAAATTTAACGTTGCGGCGTCGCCTCACTCCACTTCTACTAAATTGATGTCAATTAACACGGCGGCGTTGCATCGTTGGAATGTCGGCCATTTTGTTTGTTTTCGGTATTAAATACGCGGGAAACGGAATGCCGCGGAACGCAAAACATACTAATTAATCAATAAAGGCAAAATGTACAAGATAATTTAATTTTAACTTTTGCCATTTAGTTCCTCGTTGATTTTGATCTTAATGCCTATCGCCATTTAAATACTACTTTAAAAGAAATATAGGTTTGTTTGTTTTTAAAGTCCATTACTATCGAAGATTGGAAAACAACATAGCTTGCGACTTTTAACCAGATAGTTGCTCCAGCCGGAACAACATTATAGCGATTTTCTCCTGGATGTATATCTGGAGTATTTTGTATTTGGAATTCCTCATGATACAATAAAAACTTTCCACGTCTGATTGTATTCGTCAAAATTCAAAGACCATTAATATCAAGTTAAAACGCATATTGGTTCGGCTGTATATTCATAGTGCATTTATAGACTATGACTCCTTTTTTTTAATTCATTTTAATGCATTTAAATTCATTTACTGATGGTAGGTCCTCTTGTGAGTCCGTACAGGTAGGTACCACCACCCCGCCTATTTCGGCCGTGAAGCAATAATGCGTTTCGGTTCGAAGGGTGGGGCAGCCGTTGTAACTATACTTGAGACCTTAGAACTTATATCTCAAGGTGGGGGCGCATTTACGTTGTAAATGTCTATGAGCTCCAGTAATCACTTAACACCAGGTGGATTGTGAGCTCGTCCACTCAATTAAGCAATAAAAAAAACGCAATTTTCGAAAAAAAATTTAATACAAAATTCATTTTTCTAAATCTGCATATGATAAACGACTCATGTCAAAAATAATAGAGCACACATACACGTATTGTGTGTTCTGTCTGTACCAACGTCCATTCTAATTGTTAACGATCTACCTTGCTTCACCTTGACCGAAATCATTTCACACTAAAGTATTATTGAGAGCCGTAACTGATATATAGATCATGTAAAAGAAGCTTTAACATATTGTTTTTTCACCGAATTTCGAAACATCCTTCAGCGGTTCACGCAGTAGGGCTGACGGTTCGTGATGGGCTTATTTGTCTAAACTAACTAATGACTAAATTGCTCAAAAAAAAAAAAAAAACGTGACTGATTGCCTCTATACTTCACCCAATTTGATCAATGTTTGGAGTCAATGTGTGCGCAAAATAAATCTTATATTTGCAAAAAAATACACAATTTCATAATGAAATAGATAAATTTGTCTTATGATGCACAACGGTGATTGCAATCATAACATCACTAAAATTTCTAAGCTCGCAATACATCAGCGTCAATAGAATGGCAAGTGAAACACTGTAGAATATCATGCGAGTCTCCAAATAAAACTCTAGTATCGATAAGATACTTAAAAAGTAATACATTTAGTAGGTGGGCTCAAGGAACGCTAAAAAATATTGTAAAACTCAGTTTAAATGTCTGTCATACGACGAAGAATTACGCTCTCTTTTTTGTCTTATACTGTAACAATTTAAACTCCAAATAACACAGAAGCTACCAGCCCTAACGTAACAGATGAGACCGAGCTACTTGCAATGAAAGTGGGTTGCAAGCAAATTAGAGGTTACACACCGTATGTCACGGACGCGGTTGATTTCCATCAGTGCAAGCTCGCAAGGTTCCTCGAAAACGCTGCGTTTGTATGTCATCAATAATATCCCGATGTAGCTGGAGACAAATCTGCTCCAGGTGTTAATTTCAAATGTGTCACTAATGTTGTTGCAGCACTTAAGTTATTGTTAGATTAGGCATTATTATTCGTTGTTCTCAGTCCTGGATAATAGAATTTATTAAAAAAAAACAAATGTTTCGTCGGCGATCGCTTAAATTTGACGTCATTTGCTAAGGTTACCGCTTGCAAACAAGAGCACAAGTAACATATTGAATGTGTTCTGTGAGTTTCAATCTATATAAAAATGAATTGCTGTTCGTTAGTCTCGCTAAAACTCGAGAACGGCTGGACCGATTTGGCTAATTTTGATCTTGAATTATTTGTGGAAGTCCAGAGAAGGTTTAAAAGGTAGATAAATATGAAAATGCTCGGAATTAAATAAAAATAACAATTTTGTTTTCCTTTGGTGTTTCGTTTGAGGATTCCTTTTATTTGTTTTAAGTTTATTTTATACAAAAGTTTAAGTCTTTTATTTATCGATTGAGGCACTACGAAGTCTGCCGGAAGCAGTTCTAGTATTTAATACAAATGTTCGGCCCTTAATTACTTGTAGTACTTACACAGCTGCGATGTGGACATTTACAGTACGGGTAGTCCATCATTTCTAGGTCGCAAACGCTCCAAGCTTCTCTGATGGAAAACAAGTCGAGAGTGAAATGATTCGACAAAAATATCTATTCATTGATGTAGCATATAGCACGATAACGCGCGATTTCGAGCTCGTGTGCGAATATAAAACGCTTACAATTTCCATTCCAGCGCAAGTGCATTTATGTTAGTGATACACAGTTTTAGCCTTGTTTTGTCTTCGCAGCTGTTTAGCTTCTTTGTAAGCACTATGGCCTCTTTTAAGCTTCGAAAGCAAAACTATAGTATTAATAATGTTCATAAATCGTTAACATGCTGCTAACCAGAGCCAATATTTCATTCAGGTCACGTTGCTATTATCAAACCTGATAACACAAAGTATGTCTCGTTCCATCTCGAATCAGTCGTGCCAGGATACTAGTGGTAATAAGTTATACCGGTACTGATCGGCATTTTGGTCCTACCCCACTCGTCAAGCATACCTATGTGTTTGGTCTGAAGGGCGGGATAGCCGTAGTTGTAGTGTCTAAGACTCTGACCTAATGTTCGAAAGGGGTCGGAGTCATTTTTCCTGTGACAGTAATGCATAACCTTAAGGCTTAGGTCAGTTCATCTAAGCCAATAAGATTTATCACCTCCTAAGCGAATGATTCTGCCGCGTTGACGTCACAAGTCCGTTCCGTTGCATGGAAACTAACGGCCGTTTTCAATAACGTATCTGAGTTTTCGGATAGATAGCTATCTCCGAATATCAGCAAGAGCGTATCTGTCCTTAGTTTGCGTTTCACAATCACGGATAAGTGCTATCTCTCTTTAACCAACAGTAGATAGCTTCTTCCCTCCGATTTATCCGAGCCTCTTGATACGTTTCGTTCTACTACAAATACGAAACAACATCAGGATCAAGACTTATTTTATTTTATTCTAAATTATAACTATAATTTAACCAGCATATTGTAGACTATCATAAACACATTTGTTTATAACAAAAAGTAATAAAAACATATGTAGATTTTTTTAAATTGGACGTATTGCTATTTTTATCCTAGTCGAAATTATGAAACGAAACGTTTTGACAGTCCGTTTGCCAATAAGCAGTGATCAGTTTCTTTTGTTTGTTTTTCTATTGTTTACCTACTATATTAGATGATGACTTACCTCCAAAACGCTTTAAAACTTTCGTTTATAATTCTAAGTGTGTTTATAATTAAAGAGCTACAGTGAAATAAAATGAATTCTGTAAGTATCTATGAACTACATTGATAATAATAATTTTACTTTGAAAACTTTGAGTTCAAGTTTAGAAAATATATCTTTTTCAGTCAAGAAAGGCAGCACCCATGACAAAAGATGAGACGATGATTCTAGCAGAACTTGTGGCGGCGAAAAAACATTTCAATAATAAGGCAACAAATGCCACAAACAATAAATTGAAGGAGCAGGCTTGGCAAACCCTTGTAAATGATTTTAATTCGTCGATTCGTCGTTTCCCACGAACTCCATCGCAGCTTCGACTAAAATGGGAAAACTTAAAGAACGCTACGGCAACATAAGAAACAACCTTAGTAAGGTTAGTATAATTAGTTGATTGTTTGTCTCTAATAACACATTGATAAACATGATTTTTTCTTCAGGTTGCCGTAGTATTTGAAATAATTATGCTCTTTGTTACAGGCTGGAGGTGGTAAGGATTGCAGATGAAATTTTGGATAAAGCATGCACATTGTTGTAGGTCACATATAATATTTTTAACACTTTTACAGCCAAGCGGAAACAAGATGGAAGAAAAGAAATGCAAGGCTAGCATAGGGACAATGCATTAGCAGAATATCTAATAGCAAAAAAGAGACTTGACTTGGAAAATAAAGAAAAGGAGATTGTTGTAGCAAAAGTTAAGTTAGATTTAGATAATTTAAAAAATTAAAAATTACTTAAAAGGAATATTAAATTTCATAAATTAAGTAGGCAATAATAATTTTATGTTAGATAGTTTTTTAAGTATATGTACAAATTCTAAATTAAATATCTTGCATGTACTAACTACCATGTAATTATCATTTTGGAAAATAAAAAATAGTCAAATTATCTTTGGAGTTTATTTTATAAATTATCTTTGGAAGCAATTATTTATAAGTACATAGTTGTATTTCAGATGTAAGTTTTGAAAAATTGTTACGAACAATTATATTATTTTCCTGTAATGTATCTGCGACTGAAATTTCTGATTCTAATTCTTCTAAATTCATACTTCTGACGATATTATGCAGCATGGCAGCTATAATAACAGCTTGCATATTTTCTAGTTTTAATCTACTTTTCAATGATATACAGGGAGTCTTCTTTTACAAACACCAATGCATCTGAAAATTATACATTATTCGCTTAAATTATTTTACAATACAGTATAACAAGCTCTTAACTAAAAAAAAAGATTACCTCTCTATAGTATTTCTTGTTTTAATATGTGATTCATTTTAAATCGTTCCGATTGAGTATGTGGGTTAATTAATCACGTTAAAAGATAGGGTTGTGGGGATAGCCTCTATCGGCAAGCAAATAGCAATTTCCAAGTCCACCTTGTTATCAATGTTCTCTTGATATGTAGATAATTTATTATAATAGTGTCATATTAAATTCATATAAACACCTAAATATATAATATAAATAAATAAAAATATAATAATAATAATATAAATAAGGTAATATAAATAAGAAATACCTTTTCAATCGGAATGGTTAATTATAGTTGTATCATGAGTAGACCCAGGCCATCAAGCAACAACATTTTGAAACATCAATGATGCATTGCACACAAATTACACATTCAAAATACTCTTTTTCTATTTCTAAATTCCTCTCCTATATTTGAATCTGTAACACAAATATAAAATGTAGAGGTATCAGTGTGTAATAAGAATGAAGGTAAATAGCCTACCAGGTTATTGTATTAGTATATGAATGTCATTTAGGGCACCATGGGAATCCAGCAGTATTATAGAATTCCTGTTGAGTGTGATTTTGTAACACAACAAAAATTAGGTATAATTTTGCTATTGCTATAAACAAATATAAGTTGTAATAACGAGTACTTTTATGGTTAAAATTTATCTTACCTTTTTGACGTTACACTCAAATATGGTCTCATTAAATTAATCAATTCATTCACAACACCTTTGCTCAGAAATCTATAGTCAAATTCGTAATTATTGATCTTCGCCATGTAATTCAGACGATCTTTATTTTCCTAACCATATGATATCGGCCTCACTATCACTATCTGCATCACAATCCATTATCATTTGAAATAATTCCATATCACTATCATCACTGCTACAATATGCCAATATGAAGAGAAACAATTATTAAATTATAGCGATTTACTTTCGAAAGATAAACATGTAACCGGCCGATTTTGACAGATAAGCGAATGCCCATACTAGAGATAGCGCCGCCTACCGGAGAGTTACTTAAAACTCATATTGAAACGGAAGTAAGCACGATTTGTATGAGCGTTCTATCTTTAGCAGGCTATCCGTCCTCCCGACGATGGATAGATAAATCCGATAGGAACTGCTGCCCGTCGATAGGTTATTGGAACGTAAGTAAGGACAAAAATATAGATTTGTCTATCTTTAGTAACCGAAACTAGGGATAGATAGGTTATTGAAAACGGCCGTAAACAAATATTAGAGGCAAACCAATGCGTTAATACCTTTAATTACATAATAAAATTTCTTACAAAACCACTCGTTTACATTGCAACAAACAACAAATAACCGTAAAACACTATAAGCGGTTAAAAATGTGGGTAAATTGCTTTGTGCTGTTAACGCAAGCCATGGTCCATAGCTTACATATCGCTATTGGAAACGTAATAATCTATACACCATTATTTTATAACTAGTACAAAAATTTTAAGGACATATTAGGGAAGACATTATTATCATATATGTGACGGAAAAATCTCATAATACCTTTAAATAGCAAAGTTATTATCATTTGTTTATTGTAAAAAATCTCACTGAAATCATGGACATATTACTTTACAATCCATTCATTAGTTCATTGAACTTCATTGATGGTATTCCATCCTACTCATTCGCATTCGTACTGTCGCACTTGTGACGTAGATGGCCTTAGACAATAAAATGAAACAAAAGAACATGTGATGTAGTTACCTACTTTATTTAATTTTCTAAATTCTAACCTCTCCTTCATATTCATCCGGGCTTAGGACCGGCAAAATTACCTTTTTACAATTAATTAAATACGTATGTGATTAGAAAACAATAAACAAATATTACAATAAAATAAGGTATTCTGTACTAAAGAAATGAGAAATTTTGGCATATTTATGAAGTTAGAATCAGGTGCTATTTACAATAATTATTTACATAGGTATTATTTACTAAACTTACAAGTATTTCAATTGTCCTTCGAAATGTCCGCCACTATAATTATTGTCAATAAACAGACGGGCTCGTTTCATTAAATTGTTTTTAACGAGAAAAGTACGCTTCTCTGTCTTTTCACTTCGTGAATAGCGTCCAATATGCGCTGTTTTAATCATTCGAGCCTAATTCGCTCGCTTCTGTGCACACGTCTCTTAATTTCACTCCACAAAAAGAAGTCCATGGGCGTTAATTCTTGAGATTTCCTGTAGTGATATGGATGTAATCCAGCCTTATTAATAATCTTCCAGGCACAGGACTGGCTGATGTTAAACCGTCGATCAGCGTCATTTGTACTCCGCCGGGGATCCTCTTCAAAATACGCTAGTACATCGTCGTACAGATTTTGTGACAACGCTGGTCTTCCTCGTTCTTGACGTACGTAGGTGACCGTGCGTGGAATGAACCGTGATCTAGTAAACGCTGGTAAGCATTTACCAGGTTCGCACATTTGGCTGTCGAGCGTTTGGGTGTCTTCCCTGTACATACGTACAGCTGCACTCGCGTTTTCTCCACTCAAAAAGTACGCACGAAGCATAGCTACATACTCCCGTGATGTGAACTGATAAGCCATCGCGTCAGGGAAAACTTAAACAAACAACTGTTGCAACGAAAAAAAGCATGCGCACACTTCCGATAACAATTTAGCACTGTTTTTTGTCGTTGTTGCGTCGGGGCGCGGCGCGGGCGCAGAGGGACAAGGGGTAGTTGGTGGGCTTCGACTTGAGTTTCCCAGAATTTATCAATGGAGCAGCGCCCCGTAGGTACCCAAACCCCGCCGCACGTACCTACTATCGGTCATTGATTGATTTTTTTTATAATTATTTAGCATTTACCAGTTATTACGTATTTTTGTGGACAGTTTTGAGACTTAGTATTTTTTATTTTTTAACTACACAAATATGATTAGTTAAAGATACTCAGAGCCCAGTTAAATTTTTTGTACTAATTAAAAAATAGGGGTGTATATTAATACGTGAAGCAAAAACTTAGTACTCATTTTTACGAAAATTGCGCGGACGAAGGAGTATGAAATTTCCTACACTTATAGAGAATATAGAGAAGGAGTGCAGAATGTTAATATTTTTTTTAAAAATGCATAGAAAGTATATTAAATCAATATAAAAAAAACATTATACATTATCATGTATTAAACACAACACATGTATTTAAATACTGTTTGTTTATTGTCAAACATTTGTTATTGTTTAAAGTCTGTGATCAAATTGAGAATAGATTAATATTGTTTGTCTTTAATATTATTTATCTATAGTGTAGTCTTGGCGAAATCTATGATTACCTATAGAAGTACAATAGAACCATAATAATATTCAAACTTATAATTTCAATTAATTATAGTCGAATTTCGACTACTGGGGGACTACTCCTCCGTGCGTCGTATCAGTGCCCTTTACGGAGTGGTCGTGACCTTTACGGAGCACTTTTGTTAGGACTATGTTCCTCCATTCATTCCTGTCCTCCGCGCAGAAACTACCACCACCACTAGTAGTAGATAAATCGAAAAGTAAGTACGTAAATACCGAGATACGAAAGCACCGGACGTCCTATCCTTTAGGCCACGACGACTTAAATGAGATTGTCTTTTAAAAAACTAAATTATGTTGCTAAATGGCATCACGCCAATGAATAAGGGTAAAATATAAGACTCAGAATGATAAATTACGTAGATAAAATTATTAAAATTTACGGACACAGCATAATATTTCCCCCTTTTATGAAGTTGGTAGAAATATTACAGTTTAATTAATAATAAATTAGGCAATTTCACATTTCGACAACAATTAAAAAAAAAAACACCAAAAATTGTTACACAAGCCTGCATATTATATGAGTTGAGATTGCCAAATAATTATGAACTATGCAGTAATTATGATATGCAATTACATATATCCGCGAATATTATAATTACGCAAATGAGGCTTATAATTTACAAGCGGCCCGCACCGGCTTCGCTCGGGTTTTTAACAAAAATTTCAACGATAGTTGACGTTGTTTTATTTTTTTTAAATAAAAGAACAGTTATTGCGGCATAACTATAATAGTTAGACATATGTTGTCGCGATACTTTTTATAAATAATAATGTGTTCTACAAAGTCGCAGCACATTATTTTATTCTATCATCAATAGTTTTCGCAGGGCACGCGATGTAAAGAATATTTTAGGTAGTTTTTTTACACCTTGGGTTACATTATTGGAGTTTTCCGTAAGGATCCCTAATTTTTTTCAAAAAAGATTATAGCCTATGACACTCGGGAATAGTGTAGCTTCAAAACAGTGAAAGAATTTTTCAAATCGGTTCAGTAGTTTCGGAGCCTATTCAATACAAACAAACAAACAAATCGTTCCTCTTTATAATATTAGTATAGATTTATAGGGTTTTTTTTTTCTTAAACTACGCTCCTCCAGACGTGACTCTCAATTTCAATGTCTATACAATTTTTAAGGTTTTTCGGAGTAGTCCCGCGTAAATTACGTCACTATAAAACGCTTGGCTGATTTTAGTCTTTATCCATGACGAATAAAACACGTAAACTAAGCTAAATATAAAAAAATGTGAAATTTTTTAAATTAACTGTAAAAATTCACTCACTGGTGCAGTAATTAGAGACCCTGAATGTCATGCCAGGGTCGTTGGGTTTGATTCCCACGTAACGAAAACATTTCTGTGATTGTTACCTGATCTCTTTATCTGATTGTTTAATATCTATATTTAAACGTATTTAAGTATTTAGATATTACTTCTGGTTGCCATAGAACCATGGTAGCCCTTCATGAAGCTAAGGATCGCAGATGGAGGGTAATAGTACGGGTGAAACTGATGCAGCGGGGGAGTCACGACCCTCGGTAATGAGGAAAACGACGCGAGGAGGAGTACCATGGTACCGGG